AAATCACTGTTTTCTCTAAAATTATACTATACTAAATATACAAAAATCATTATTAACACAGACCAAACACAACATAACTTACAAATTTCCTGTTAAATGCCTAGTAAAGTCTTGTTCACATGGAGATTTCTAAATGTACTCCCATGTGAGAACCGTGTTTACATGTATAGAGAAGCTCAGGTGATCGATGTATCCCTGTGTAGGCAGTTTATGCCAATTGGGATGCAGACAATGCATGGACACAGTTACTGCTCCCAATCTGACATCTGTGTGGGTACACAGCCCTGAACGCAGATAGTGTGAGTTCAGGGACATGCATCCACATGGATGTCAAATCAAGAGCAGTGACTGTATCCATGCATGGACACCTGTGCATCTCTGTGGGGGTAAACACAGCCTCACACGGATGTAAGCTGTAGTATGCCATTTGTTTGTTTTGTTGTATTTTTTTTGTAGAGTGGGCTTCGATGAAACATTAGGGGTTTATTTAGACCCCTGATGTCATTTTTTTTTCTCTCTCTCTCTTTTTTTTGAGACCGAAGAAGGGAGTGAGTCCCCATTTCCTTTTTCTGCAGCCTCAGCTGCACTAAATATGAATAAATAGAAGTCTCTGTACTGAAGCTGAAACATAGTAAACACAGTTTACTATGCTTCAGTGATGAAAGAACACAGAAGTGATCGGTACCACCCTGAATCCTGTGATGATCTCCAGCCACCAGGAGGGGGTGGAGGGAAAGCTGTCTAGCAGCACTGCAGGGAGATGTCATTGGGGATTGGTGGGTGGGGTGCAGTACAAGGGGGGTAAATTCCCCTGTGACTTCCTTGCAGCACTGGAAGCTGGGGAGAGGAAGAGAAGCCAGCAGCTGCAGTGGAGCCACAGTGCTGTGGGGGGCACAAAAGAGCAGAGTGGGGCATTTTGGAGCACAAGTAGAGTGGCAGCAGCTCGTCCATGTGTGGAAGGTGTGTCAGCGAACAGTGGGGCCTTCCCCTTCCTCACTGCACACATTAGCCTGGTGGTTGTGGAGGTCTGGGGGCATGGGGCTCACTATAACGTGGAAGCTTCCTGTAACAATAAAGGACACTCATATACCAACCCCCCATGTAAATAAGTAAAGAGTGTTCAATTGTGATGTCCAGTGATGCAGCTCCACATCAATCAAATTAAACACCACCTACCCACAGACTTCGGAAGTCCGAACATCCAAGGTTCAGTCTGAACTTGTTTTTGGATCAAAGCATACCCCTAGTAAATATATAAAGAAAAGCTTTGTGCTCCAGATTATAACTGGAATTGAAAATATTCATTGTGAACATACACTTTGCAAAGTGGTCAGCCACCTCTGCTCATTTAGCAAGTCAACCCTATAGTGTGTGACAGATTATTGATCTACCAGCATTAAAGTAAACTGGTAACGGTGTCCTTAATAAATAATATAAAGAGATTAATCCTCCACATTGTGTAAAAAAGATGTTTGTTCCTGTCTTCTCTGATCCTTCCCTTTTTTTTACTGTCCCCAATCCATCTGCTGATTGAACAGAGCCTTGGGGGCAAGCTGCACATGCTCAGTTTTTTGTGTATTGCTAGAGTGTTTTTTTTTTCTTTACTTGGGAGAGTGCATGTGATCAACACAGGGCCAATCAGCACTGTCCAGACAGAGGGTCAGTTGGGAAAATGAAGAGAATGAAAACTCATCCTACAAGCTTTAACCAGTGCTCTACTGAATACAAATAGAATTCGCTGCTCTAACTGCCGATGAGAAAAGGTATTAAGCAGTTTATATTTCTGTGTACTGTGGGAGACCAAATATAGTGAATGCAGAGTCCTGGGTTTTAGTAACACTAAGACAAGGAGCTTTATCTGTACTATTACAAGCCTAGTATATATAGATCACATAATGGAAAGGTGTTTACTTTAAGATAATGGCAAGAGAGGAGGTGTGACAGGCGCAGTGTCAGACCCCAGACTTTCTCACCAACTTGTGACCGAAGGACTAGCCAATCTAAAACCGTGCTGCCACTTGCGCAACAATGCCACTCTCAGCGACACCCTGCATAGAGATTTTTCCAGCTCACTGGACCACAACCTATGTGCCAGCCGCCTGAGAGTGATTGTTACTGGGTCAGGTTAATTACGCAATTAACCCTTCACACTGCCACCACTACCTTTTTTACGCGTATTCAAACATCATAGTGTCTAGCAGTAACACTATGATGTTTGAATACGCGTCTGTATACACCCTGTCACCGCAGACAGAGGTTTTAAAACACACAGTAGCACACTTCAGAGACAGGGATTCTTACTTTGCATTAAAGAGCTTTAGAAACAATTCAACACTTTTCAGAAAATAGGATTTATTACTAAAAAGGTCAAAATGGTGCAATAAAAATATTTACAGAAAAGATGTAACACATATATATATATGTATATGTAGAGAGATAACACAATAGAGAGATAAAGGAAGAAGTTTAAGAAGGTAGAATACTTGCAGAAGTCCTGGTTTAAGCAGCGTCCAAGTGTCCTGAACCAAAAGGTTGCCTTTTCTCCCAAAGATGTTCCAGATGTTAAAAGGGAGAATCTCTTCTTACTTCTCCAGGCCTGACTGCCTATTTTTAGTCCCCCAGCAGGGGGTGTCTACTGAAGCCAAGGGCCAATCGCCTCATTTGAAGATGGGGTTTAGGCGGAGACCCAGGCTGTGACCCAAATCCCTTTCAGTTTATATCATGATCAATAACCTTCCATAGGTACATGTAGCATCCTATCCACTGGTAGAATAATATGCAGAATCATCTGCTGAACGTCCAGGCACCAGATATGACATATCTGCCTGTGACGGTTAAAGAGATATCGCTTTCTGCTCTCGGGTAGATGTAAGGTATCAGGTGACTCGCATTAAACTGATCTATCTGAATATATGCTTTATTCTATTGTACCTTTTTCCTGCTGGGAGTTATAAAATTGTATTTAAAAGTGGTTCCAAGTGGGATGTATGTTTTACTGCTATTTCGGCATGCTTTTCAAGTCCAGTGACTGACGGGTTTATAGCTTTACAATCCGGCCAGAGCAAGAGGCTGACTGACACCCTGGAACCAGCTAATTGGGTTTACAATCATGAAGTGTAAACCCATGATTGTAAACCCAACTGTAATCATTACTGTATACATGTCATATCACTATAATGGAGTACAGGGGAGCTGGGATATACATTACTGTATACATGTCATATCACTATAATGGAGTACAGGGGAGCTGGGATATACATTACTGTATACATGTCATATCACTATAATGGAGTACAGGGGAGCTGGGATATACATTACTTAGTAATGTATATCCCAACTCCCCTGTACTCCATTACACCCTGTTCCAAATTATTATGCAAATTCTATTTAAGTGTCACAAAGATTAAATATTTTGTTTTTCAGTGTAACTCATGGATGGCATTGTGTCTCAGGGCTCTTTTGATCACTGAAAACAATCTCGGACACCTGTGATAATTAGATTGGCAGGTGAGCCCAATTTAAGGAAAAACTACTAAAGGAGGGTGTTCCACATTATTAGGCAGAGGACCATTTTCAAGCAATATAGGGAAGAAAAATGATCTCTCTGCTGCCAAAAAGAGTGAAATAGTTCAATGCCTTGGACGAGGTATGAAACATTAGATATTTCACGAAAACTTAAGCATGATCATCGCACTATTAAGAGATTTGCGGCTGATTTAGAGCACAGACGGGTTCGTGCTGATAAAGGCACATTGAGGAAGATTTCTGCCAGATCCATGCATCGGATCAAGAGAGCAGCTGCTAAAATACCATTACATAGCAGCAAACAGATATTTGAAGCTGCTGGTGCCTCTGGAGTCCCACGGACATCAAGGTGTAGAGTCCTCCAGAGTCTTGCAACTGTGCATAAACCTTCTATTCGGCCACCACTAATCAATGCTCACAAGCAGAAACTGCTGCATTGGGCAGAAAAATGAACATGAAGACTAATTTTCAAACAGTCCCGTTCACTGATGAGTGCCGTGCAACCCTGGATGGTCCAGATGGATGGAGTAGTGGATGGTTGGCGGACAGCCACCCTGTTTCAACAAGGCTGTGACGTCAGCAAGGCGGTGGTGGAGTCTTGTTTTGGGACGGAATCATGGAAACAGAGCTGGTCGGCCCCTTTAGGGTCCCCGAAGGTGTAAAGATGACCTCTGCAAAGTATGTGGAGTTTGTGACTGACCATTTTCTTCCCTGGTACAGAAGGAAGAACTATGCTTTCCGTAATAAAATCATCTTCATGCATGACAATGCACCATCTCATGCTGCAAAGAATACCTCTGCATCGATGGCTGCTATGGGGATAAAAGGAGAGAAAGTCATGGTGTGGCCTCCATCCTCCCCTGACCTCAATCCTATTGAGAACCTTTGGGCATCCTCAAGCAAAAGATCTATGAGGGTGGGAGGAAATTTACATCCAAACAGCAGCTCTGGGAGGCTATTCTGACATCTTGCAAACAAATTAAAGCAGAAACTGTCCAAAAACTCACAAGTTCAATGGATGGAAGACTTGTGAAGCTGCTATCAAATAAGGGGTCCTATGTTAAAATGTAACGTGACCTGTTAAAATGTTTAAAAAGTTAAAATGTTGTTAAAAGTTTGATTGAAATAGCTTTTGATTTCAGTAAATAGCTGCAAACACAACAAATGACAATTTTCAGTTCTTTACAACCTATAAAGTGTTTTGAAACTTACTGTGCGTAATAATTTGGAACAGTGCATTGTAAGTTTTTAATGTTTAAAAAAAATACTGTTATTAGTAGGTTTGTTCAATAAAATTTGAATTGTACTCTTAATAGTTGATAACATGAGAATTATGCTGACTGTTATTTACATCAATTATTTAGGTAAATGAGAAAAATATCATTTGCATAATTTGGAACAGGGTGTATAGTGATATGAAATGTATACAGTAATGTATATCCCAGCTCCCCTGTACTCCATTATAGTGATATGAAATGTATACAGTAATGTATATCCCAGCTCCCCTGTACTCCATTATAGTGATATGACATGTATACAGTAATGTAATGTATATCCCAGCTCCCCTGTACTCCATTATAGTGATGTGACATGTATACAGTAATGTATATCCCAGCTCCCCTGTAAACCAATATAGTGATTTGACATGTATACAGTAATGTATATCCCAGCTCCCCTGTACTCCATTATAGTGATATGACATGTATACAGTAATGTATATCCCAGCTCCCCTGTACTCCATTATAGTGATGTGACATGTATACAGTAATGTATATCCCAGCTCCCCTGTAAACCATTATAGTGATTTGACATGTATACAGTACTTACTCCTCGAGTCCCCCGCGGCGGTGGAGATGGTGCCTCCTCTCAGCGGAGGAGAGCAGAAGAAGCCGGAGACCAGAAGTTGGAAACTGGAACTCTGCTTCACAATGAGGCTTGGAGCGCAGCCGCACCATCATCTGTGCTCGCCGCTGAAGAATTTCTCTTTGCATTTGGAGAGCTGGCGAGCGGCTTTTTCAAGCCCTGTCTAGTTCATTCACAACCTCTCTTTTAATTTTTTTATTAATTTGTGTCATCCACCCACTGCTCTGATCAATAGGGGATCTGTGAACTGTTACCCTGCTGATCGGAACAGAATCCATGTAAATAGGGCTAGAATAGATAATTTATAAAAAATATATAATCCCCCTGCGCTCCACTGGTATGAACAAACACAACCCCAAATATATGCAAGCTGCTACCACCTATTCCCAATACCACAGAATGTATGACATAAAAAAAAACAATATTGGTGAAGCGCTTCACATGAAAAACTAAATAAGTAGGTGCAATGATATAAAAATACATATAAAGTGACCACGCTGTATTGAAAGGTATTGATAACTAACGCTACATAATCCCCCCAAAAAAATATATAAGTGCCAAGTGCTGGAGTGCAAAACAGGTCATGCGTTTGCTGACTAGATCGTGCCAAAATAAAATATATGCACAGTAAACATAATACACAATAACATTACACACTCTAACTGAAAGTGGAAAGTTCTCAGTATGGGTATGAATATAGGTTAAAAGTAAAATCCACAATAAAGTGCAAAATAGGTCATGCGTTTGCTGACTAGACCGTGCCAAAATGCAATATATGCACAGTATACATAATACACAATAACATTGCACACTCTAACTGAAAGTAAAAAGTGCTTAGTAGGAGTATGAATATTGGTTAAAATAAAATCCACAATAAAGTGCAAAACAGGTCATGCGTTTGCTGACTAAATTCTGCCAAAATACAATATATGCACAGTGAAATAATACAAATAAAAAATGCTCCCCGCACGGCGTGCTTAGCATTGTGGAGCTCCGGCGGCCATTACATCTGATAGGAAGGTTAGTCCTGTCTGCTCTTATTTGATTTTATTGGATGCATCCCCCTTACTAGTGTCATTTTTCCTACAATACATTTGTTGGTGGGGGACTGTAGACTTCTCAAAACACATCAGCCACCTAGAAGTCTACAGTCCCCCACCAGACATCCTTTAGGGTGATTGGACCACGCTGCATTTCTTGTGACATGCGCTTCATTTGATTTTATTTCTTTGTAATTTTACCTTTTAAAAATGAGATTTATTGATAAAAAGTAAATGCACTAGGCCTGTGCACCCTCTTTTTGTTCATATGCTCAATATGTTGTCCCTATGAAGCATAGTGCGCATGCGTCGGTGATGTAACCAGCTGCAGAAATGGTGAATATCTTTATTATACCTTTCCTGTAGGTTTGAAGTCAGTAAGTGATATTTACAGTTCTGGCCCACTCTTCAAGACTACAGGAGTGTGTGATGGCTGAGAATATAATAAAGAATTTAATTTTCATGTAAATTAATAGAAATTAAATAGGCAAACATTACTTAGGTAGGTTTTTTAAATAATGTTTTTGATATTTTGATTTTTTTTTTTTTTTTTTTTTACAAATTGTCATGTGACTGTCAGAGCACCAATCAGCTCTGTGTGACCTGGAAAAAGTACAGAATCATATAGTGATGTGTGCATGATGAAGGCAGTGAGTTCCACCCACAAATTTACCATTGAGATGCAGAGAAACTTGAAAATGATCACGTGACTTGGTTCCAGTAGATCTAAAGGAAGGTATTTAGAATCATAAATGATGTGACATATGGACCATGATGTCAATGCTTTTCTTTCACTACCCATATGTCAAAGCATATACAATTGGGTTTAGTATCACTTTAAGAAATTGTGAGCACCCGTGGCTTAGACATATTACTGTTTAAATGGGACTTACCTATGTTAATAGTCATCAATTAACATAGGTAAGTCCCATTTATACAGTAATATGTTTATTAATATTTCAGATAATATCCAGCAAATAATTCTGAATTTATTCAAATAAAGGTGGTTGAAAATGTCTGGCATAAGGTATAAATCATGTAGACTTCACCTCCACAACATCTCCAAGATACAACCGTTCCTAACCCCGGAAACCACTAAGCAATTTATTCACTCCCTTGCCATATCACGCCTTGACTACTGTAACTCCCTCCTCATTGGCCTACCTCATCACAGGCTATCCCCCCTCCAGCCTATCATGAACGCTACTGCCAGACTCATCCACCTCACTAACCATTCTGTATCCGCCACCCCTCTCTGCCAATCCCTCCACTGGCTCCCCAGTTGCCCAACAGATAAAATTCAAAACACTAACAATGACATATAAAGCCGTCCACAACACTGCCCCAATTTACATAGCTGATCTTATCTCTAAATATCACCCAAACCGTACACTCCACTCCTCGCAAGACCTCTTACTCTCTAGCTCCCTTATCTCCTCCTCCCATGCTCGTCTCCAAGACTTCTCAAGGGCGTCACCCATCCTCTGGAACTCCCTACCCAAATCTATCAGACTATCACCTACTCTACTTGCCTTTAGGCGATCACTGAAAACCTATCTCTTCAGGGAAGCCTATCCCGCCCTCTGCTAATTCTGGAATCCTCTACTTTTCCAACCACTCCATCCCCCAAAGTTACTACCTACTGTACCATTCACCCCTCCCTCCTAGATTGTAAGCTCCAAGGAGCAGGGCTCTCAAATCCCACTTGTATTGAACTGTATTGTTAATGTATTGTCTCCCACTATAATGTAAAGCGCTGAGCAAAGCGTTGGCGCTATATATAAATCCTGTATAATAATAATAATAATAATGTATCCTTGTTCATAGTATGTATGCTTTGATTTAGCAAAAAAAATAAATTGTGGCATGTAGTGTTTAACAATATCCACAAGAGGGCAGAAATAACTTATTTTCAATTTACAAAATTATTAACTGACAGTTTGCATTATAAAATGAGATTGTGGAAATGGTAAAACAAAGAGTGAAAAACGAGCAGCATCAAAGTTGTTTTTCTCTAGTTACAAAATGTACATAAGGCACGAAATTCATTGATTCCAGATTAGATATTTAAAGCCAAAAAGAGCTCCAGCACTAATGTTTGTGTATGTAAATGTTCTGGTACAACTGAAAGGATTTTGTTTGTTATGAGATGAGCAAAGATCAATAAAAGCTTTGACCCTTTAAAGGGATTTTAAAGGCAAAATATTTTTCCTTAAAATAGAAAGAATGCTATACTTGCTTTGCGCAATGATATTGCACAGAGTTGCCCCTTACCGCCTCTTTGGTGTTCACCCACTGGTGCTCTTCGCTCCTTCTTCCTGCAGGTGCCCCCATAGCAAGCTATGTGCTCTGGGGATACCCATGTGGTGTGCTCCTGAGCTGGGCTGTGTGTATCCATAGACGCACACAACGTAACTTGGCCATACCCCCTGCTCCTTCCTTACAGGAATTGTCTGACTGAATTGACTGTGTCTCCTATGAGACCAGGAAGTCAATGGAGTGGAGCTGCAGATGCAACAAAGCTGGATCATTAGAGGAGGCAGATGTTTAGGGGCGGGGATGGGGGTTGAGAGCCAGTGGAACGTTTAAAAAAGCGGAAAAAAAAGGTAGGAACATGTTTTGCCGTTAGAACCATTTTAATTATTAAAGTGGTTGACTAGCATCAGATGATACACAAAGATGAAGCAAATCCTCCTACATATGTTGTACCTGTTTATCTGCAGGTGTCTGTTCTCTACAGCCATTGGAAGTTCAGAATTTACACAGCGTCTCTCAGCCCTAAAAAGTAGTGGAGACCTGAAGTTTCACACTGCAGATGTCAGTGAGGGGAGCGCTGAATCTATACTGGAGGGTAGGAGCACCCCCCCTTCACACAGTACACGGTGAACATGCACAACTGAGGTTATCAATCACAAGTTGTGTGCTGGAGCTCCCTCCCAGTTGCCTGTTTTATCTCCTGCTATCAGGAAAACCTTTCAGAAGTTACTCATGCTCATAATATAAGAATGAGGCAGTAGAAAGAAATCACACTCAGTTCTTTGAATAGAGGCAAGTACACAGTATAGAAGGATATGCTTTTGTTCATGCTTAATGTCTGAGGCTTACAACCAGTTTAATGGGGGGTGTTTCTTGTGTTTGAAACTTAAGTGTAAATGATTGTACGTGATCTATTTTTTTTAAAACTGGAAGGCAAACAAACAGCTGGGGATCCCAGGTGATGATATTGACAAATTTAGGCTTTGCCATGCCCCTTTGCAAGGAACCCCCAAATATTGAAAGGCATGTGACCTGGTATTGTACAGGAAGGGTGTGGGGTTTGTTTGCTGGTGGCCTGGTATTGTACAGGAGGGGAGGGTGACATGTTTGCTGGTGGTCTGGTATTATACAGGAAGGGAGGGGACATGTTTGCTGGTGGTCTGGTATTGTACAGGAAGGAAGGGGGGCATGTTTGCTGGTGGTCTGGTATTGTACAGGAAGGAGGGGGGCATGTTCGCTGGTGGTCTGGTATTGTACAGGAAGGAAGGGGGGCATGTTCGCTGGTGTCCTGGTATTGTACAGGAAGGAAGGGGGGCATGTTCGCTGGTGGCTGGTATTGTACAGGAAGGAAGGGGGGCATGTTCGCTGGTGGTCTGGTATTGTACAGGAAGGGAGGGGGGCATGTTCGCTGGTGGTCTGGTATTGTACAGGAAGGAAGGGGGGCATGTTCGCTGGTGGCCTGGTAATGTACAGGAAGGGAGGGGGGCATGTTCGTACCTGGTAAGTACAGAAGGGAGGGGGGCATGTTCGCTGGTGGTCTGGTATTGTACAGGAAGGAAGGGGGGCATGTTCGCTGGTGGTCTGATATTGTACAGGAAGGGAGGGGGGCATGTTCGCTGGTGTCCTGGTATTGTACAGGAAGGAAGGGGGGCATGTTCGCTGGTGGCCTGGTATTGTACAGGAAGGGAGGGGGGCATGTTCGCTGGTGGCCTGATATTGTACAGGAAGGAGGGGGGCATGTTCGCTGGTGGCCTGGTATTGTACAGGAAGGGAGGGGGGCATGTTCGCTGGTGTCCTGGTATTGTACAGGAAGGAAGGGGGGCATGTTCGCTGGTGGCCTGGTAATGTACAGGAAGGGAGGGGGGCATGTT